TAAGTTTTTACAGCTTTTTCCTTCCCTCTCTTATCCCTCGCTCTCCTCAGTCCTCCTGCTTATTGTACTTGTATTGATACTTACCATATCTCCATGTACATTGTATTGATACTTACCATATCTCCATGTATTTTATCTAATTTTATAGTCCAGTTAGCGCTGTGCTTGCAGCTTGAAAACCATTGTTCTTGATTTGTGCCTGTGTCTCTTTACTCGGTCTGAAGTACTTCAGCTCGCCTTTGAAGAGGTGAAAGAGCCAAAGAGTGCTTCAGTCACCCTGCTTTCTTTGTTTGCCGCCTTTCATTGTATTCTCCTCTGGGGAAATGAACCACGTTTGCACCTCTCCTCCCTCACCCTTCTATCCCTTGTTATTCCAATTTGTTTTGTCGCTTTTTTTATCCATTGTTGTAGTGCCCTGCTTTTCTGTGAGCAGGAAGGGAACGCTGTGACAGGGCGGCAGAGGATTCGTCAGATAACCCAACCGTCCTCAGGCCAATGCGTTGATGGCTTGATTAGTGAAAATAAGCAAACTGTGCACAAGGCCTCCAACAACTCATTTAAATAATTAAGAGAACAGGGGCAGCATCACTAAATAAGTCACCAGTTTCTTTAAAGCAGTATTTTTCATTTGTTGTGGAATGCACTTTTGTTTTACTTCTGACTTTCTGGAATAAGAAACCTACTTTTGTTGTCTAAAAACTGTCACTTTCTGTGCTTTCTGCCACCTGAACTTTTAGAGAATCCTTACATGTTGTTACGAAAGTCGTTTTGCCACTGCTCTGAAGAAAGTCTGTTTTGTGAACATTTTACTTGCAGTATAAGATACTCTAGAGTTTTCAGTCTGTTTGACATCAAAGTTCAGTTTGGTTTGAGTTAGGATGTGAGGAACCTCACTAAGGAAGAGTCTGGGATTCGATTTGGAGAACATTCTGGTTTAATTTGCCCAAATAAACTGATATTGATGATGTACTGATGACGACCGCACTTGCGGGGCATCAGTCCCACAGCACCAAAGCCTTTCCTGTTGCTGCTTGTCTCTGCAGAAAAAACCTTTGGTGAACAGCTAACGTTCTTCGCATCTTTGATGCAAGACAGATGCAATAAGCATGTAATACAGATCACAACCATTTGCTTTTGTAAATGTACATTTCTTACAACATGACAGGTTTTAACACATAATTGTATCATGTTTGGTATGACTTTTCAGCTTATGATGTGGACTGAAATGTTATGCAGTCAGTTGAAATATTGAAGCATCTTCAAATAAGATGAAATACAGCAATACTGTTGCTCGAACATTTATCAACATTGTTGTCTTGCAGTTGATGGTGTTTTGAATGGCAGCATGTAACCTATTGTGACAGAAAGGTTTTCACCAGCATTTTTTGGTGTGTTTTTTTTCTTGGCAAAATTGGGGAAGTCGTGGCCTAATGGTTAGAGAGTCGGACTCGTAACCCAAAGGTTGTGGGTTCGAGTCTCACACCGGCAGGGATTGTAGGTGGGGGGAGTGAATGTACAGCGCTCTCTCTCCCACCTTCAATACCACGACTGAGGTGCCCTTGAGCAAGGCACCGAACTCCCAACTGCTCCCCGGGCGCCACAGCATAAATGGCTGCCCACTGCTCTGGGTGTGTGTTCACGGTGTGTGTGTGTTCACTGCTGTGTGTGTGCACTTAGGATGGGTTAAATGCAGAGCACTAATTCCTAGTATGGGTAACCATACTTGGTCACATGTCACGTCACTTCTTTTGTTGTTTTTATCTTTACTTGTGTAATAAATAATTAACTTTTTATGCCCAATTTTTTAAAAGCTTCACCTTCTTTTTTTATTGCAGTAATAAGAAAATAAACTACACTAAAAGACTCCTAGACTGTTTAGTTTGTTTACTTATCACTATGTAAAAACATTTTCCCCTTGTTAACGACTTTATTTTAAGATTAAAAAACACATGCCATCCTTCAGACTTTTGCGTTAGCATAGCACATGTAGGTTTCAGTACTGCACCAAATGGAGTTTTAAAAAAAGATCTATTTTTGATGCCTTCCCTTCACATTTGTTACCTAGCTACAGAGCTAAACATCTGTCGATAGTATTCATGGTTGAACTGTCTTAATGACGCAACTTCGCCGCTGTTCAGAACCAATTAATACAATGTGAAAAGGAATCTGTGGCATCAAGGGAATAGGGCTGAAATGTGAACTCTGAATATTCTGAGGTGTACATTGTGTGAAGTGAGCAATTTTGTTAGTGAGTAGTCTGATTTAAGTGTATTTGATTATGGGCAGATCGTTTTTTTTCTTAGAGATGATGGCAGAATCATAATTCCCATGGCATCACATCTCTTCTTAAGCCTTCGTGAGTGACACCTACCATCATACTTTAAAATTACAGCGTGCTAACTCTCCCATAGTCACATTGCTCATCCGTGTTTTGCTTTTATAGAGCTACTTCCACATGCCATGGTCCATCAGCATGCGTTTCTTCTGCTGACTTTACCCATAAACAGGATTATGGGATTACCGCCTTTATATGAGAGGATGAAGACATTCTGTATGGCACCATCTCTACAGGGGAGAATGTGTTTAAGGAAACCCAAGGCTGAAGAAGTAATGTCGCTCACAGGGGGAGACTTTAGAACAACCCTTGATTTGTTTTTGATATTAGTTCAGTGATGCAAGTAGACAGCAGTGGTCTTTAACGAAGGATTCTCTGAGAACCAAAGCACACTGAAGTTCTCATTTGTAAAGCAGAGCAAACAGGCAGAAACAAATGGACTCCTCAGGAGAGCGCTTGGAATTCACAGCAGTTTTCTTCTTTATGTAGGAGTAGTGATGGGAATCGTAAGGATTTGAATGATTCTGCTTCTGATTTTAAGTATATATTTATATTTAAATAAGAATGGAGTAACCTGCCCCCACCCCCCTTTACTAATTATAAAAAAATTGGCTCCATTCTTTATTTTTTTATTTGTTATTTAAAAAAAAACTGAATCTGTATAAGACTCTTCAAATCTGAATGAAAACCAGTTCTTCATTCTCAACTACACTGAAACATTCACTCTTCCCACAGTGTCTCTCTTCACTTTTTTTATCAAGTGTCTGGTCACAGATCCGATCTCCCGCTTTAATTCCTTCATCTTGTCTTTCATCTTTGGGCGAGAGATTTCTAACTGGGTTTAATTTCCTCCTGACCCTTCATCTTACCCAGGGCTTCAGTGAGGATCTACAGACACTTCTTTAATAGAGATGTAAAATATTGAAAACTTCCATTAGGGACACTAAACTTTCAGAATCTCTCTCTTTCGTCCTCTCACTCTGTATTTTTTTTCTTGTTGCATAAAAACCCGGCAGTGAGATTACGTGGGATTATCACAGTGTGTATGATTCTCTTTATTATTAGTGGCTATGCCCATTAGCGTACATCAGTGTAGAATATTAATTTGTACACTTCCGCTGACTCAAACAAAAGAATAAAACAAAGATTTGGGTCAGTATAAGGAAAACAACATCTCATTAGTGTGGAAACACTGTAGCTCATTATTAAGTTTTTTACCACCCCACAGTATGGAGTCCAGACTTCCACATGTATTGAGGTGGAGTCAGACATTTTTGAGCATGTAATCTGCAGGCAGATGGTTGATAAATGAGCATGAGGCCTGCATTGCTTTCACGGTGCATGACCGTGAAGGATCTTATCGAGATTTTCTCCGCTGCAGAACGTTCCTGAGATTATACTCGTCCATCAGTGTAGCTTCCAGAGTGATACTCAATCCCTGAATCTCATCCTAATAGAACTCAGACCAAAGTGCATATAGCAAGTGGGAAATGCTCTTTTCGTATCTCTTTGTTTAAAGATGAAGTAATTTCTGTGGCATAAAACATAATTGCAAAAATAATCATTGTTTCCAAACAAAGCTTACTTACAATGTTTCTACACATTAATCTGAGAGTGAAAAGTTTTTTTGTTTTTTTTTTCGTTCCTGTAGTATAGATTTTAGGAAGAAAGGAAGGTAAAATGGAATGAAGGAAGGATAGAAAGTAAGGAAGGAAGGAATGGAAAGAAGGAATAAAGGAAGGAAGGAATTTTAAATGGATAGAATGAACGAAGGAAGGAAGAAAGGAAGGAATGTAAAATAGAAACAATGAACGAAAGAATGAAGGAATGTAAAATGGAAGGATGGAAGGAATGTAAAATTGAAGAAAGGAAGGTAAAATGGAGGGAAGGAATGTAAAATGGAAGCAAGGACGGAATGTAAAATGGAAAGAAGGAACTAAGGAGGGAAGGAATTTGAAATGGAAAGAAGGAACGAAGGAAGGAATGAATGAATGCAAAATGGAAGAAAGGAAGGTAAAATGAAAGGAAGGAAGGAATGTAAAATTGAAGGAAAGTGAAATGGAAAAGGAAGGAAGGAATGTAAAATGAAAAGAAGGAACAAAGTAATGTAAAATAGAAGGAAGAACAAAGGAAGGAAGGTAAAATGGAAGGAAGGAAGGAAGGAGGCACAGAAGGGGATGACAGCAGGAAGGAAAAAATAAAAGGTAAGGGAAAAACGCAGGAGGGAAGAAAGGAAAAAGCAGGAAGAAAGTAAAGTGAACAAAGCAAAAATGAAGAGCAAGCAAGCAGGAAGAAAGAGGAAAGAATGCAGTAAGGAAAAAGAGGAAAGAAAAAGCACATAGAAAGAACTTTAACATCAAAATATTACAAGTGGCCTTTAAAGGATGAGATGGATTCTCTCTCAGGCTCTTGCTGTAGCCTGAACTCCTTCCATTTCCCTCTGTGCCTCCTCTTCTTCACCTGTGAACAGTATAGAGGAATTACTGACTAACCACATATTCGGTGCAAAGAAAGTCCTTTAAAATACTGTCAAGCTCTTGAGAGAGTATTTGTCTGAAAACTGAGAGCTCAGGATTTTCATCCTTAACCTGTGTCTGCAAAGTAAACTAACTTTGTGTCTCTCTTCCCTGTCTCTCTCTCTCTTCCTGCCGTCCTGGCCTCGCAGGGTTCGCTGCTTTACAACAGTGGGGGGGACAGCACAGCGAACTGCTCTTCTGACAAGCAGCAGAACGAGGGCAAGCTCATTAAAGGTAAGACAGCTCTGCGCTCCATGATCGAGCCCCCCACCACCTGACCTCAGAACATCCTTGCCAGCCATACTGACATTTCAGAATGCCCTCATGCACCCACATAACGACACCATCCCATGTCTCTCCGTCTGTTAATTGCTGCTGTTGTGCTCAGGCTGTTTCACTTAGGGATTAAAAATGGCGCGCTGACCCCTGTGTCTCTGCTGATGTAAATACAGATGAGCTGTTTGGGCTTGACTGTAATAATCACATCTTTGACCGTAATGACAGTACTTATGCAGCAGATTTGTGCTAAGTGAGGAAGGTTAACGACAGTTTCTAAATAAAAGCGTGTCTATTATTGCCCACTTCCCAGTGTCCTTTGCGCCAATCTGCTTTGCTATAAAATCAAAAGAAAACGACCTTCTGCCTCTGGAGAAGAACCGTGTGCGACTGGATGATGACTCAGATGAGGATGGGATGAAGGGGGAGGTGCAAGAGGGAGTGGAGTTGGCGATAGGATTGGTCGAAGCAGCCACCAGAGAGCCACCCCAACCTCAATTGAATGAGGAGAAGAAACCGGTACTGTCCCTGGAAGAGCTAGAGGCCAAACAAGGTACGTCAAAATCTTCACTAAAGAATTATTTCACTCAAAAATAAAAATTTTGTCAGCATTTACTCACCTGCTTGTTGTTCCAAACTGGAATCGTGTGCTAAAGTCTGAAGTCATAGTGTCTTTAAATGACAAAATTCACCAAGATTTAAATCTGCAGAAGGAAGGAAAGAGGGATGAACAAAGGACAGGAAAAAGGAAGTAAGGTAGGTAGGTAGGACGGACATAAGAGAGTAAAGGAAGATGGGAAGAATAGAAGGAAGGAGAAATGAAATACGGGAAGAAGCAAGGAAGGATAAAAACAGGAAAAGGAAAGGAACGCAGGAAAAAGGAATGAACAGAGAGGAAAGGAAGGTTGAAGAGAAGAAAGAATGAAGTAAAGAGAAATGGAAGATATGAGGAATGCAAATGAAACAGAAATGAAGGATGGAAGGATGAAGAAACAACAGGAAGAGAGGAGGGAGGTAGGAAGAAAGAAAGAATGAATGAATTACAGAAAGAGGGAAAATAAGAGGAATGGAAATAAAGGAGAAATGAAGGCCAAAAAAACAGGAAGGAGGAAAAAATAAATATTGGAGGGAAGAAAGAACAAAGAACAGGAAGAGGGGAAAAAAGGTAGGACGAAAGAGAATGAAGCACAGGAAGAGAGATATGATGGAAAGAAAGAGGGAAGATAGGAGGAAGGGAAATGGAGACATGAAGGATAGGAAGAAGGAAAAGAAAGATCAAGAAACAAAGAACAGAAGGGAGGTCGGTCAGGAAGTAAGAGGGAAGAATGGTAAGAGGGAATATAGAAAGAATGTGAAGAAAGGAATGATGGTTGGGAAGAAGAACGGATGGATCAAGTAACAAAGAACAGGAAGATGGAGGGAAGGTATGGAGAAAAAGAATGAAGAAGAGGGAAGAGAGGAAAAAGTGAAGGAAGAAGAATGGGATGGGAAGAGAAAAGGAAGGAAAAGGAACAGGAAGAGGGAAGGAAGAAAGAATGATGGAAGAGATTGGATGAAATTAAGGCCAGGAAGAGGGGAAAAATAAAGAATGAGAACAAAGACCTCGAAAAAAGGAACCATAAAAAGTAATAAAGGCACGAAAGAACAAGTAAGTAAAGAAAGAAGGAAGGATTATTTAAATTTAATGGCGCTCTTTTTAATATTTTTGAGTTTCAAAGTCTCTTCTCACTTTCATTATGTGGAAAAGAGTGGGTAGAGTATTTCTCAAAATGAAGAAGTCTAAGGGGGTTGGAAAAACATTAAATCTGTTGTTAATTTTTGAACTGTCCTTTTAAAACCACTAGACTCTTTTCTGGACCATTGTCCATCTTTTTAAATGCGAAGCGTATTAGCATGTTTTTTGACATGAATCGCTGTCTGTAGAGTTCAGATGTTAAGTTTCGTAAGTGTATCATAATTTAAATAATTCCTTGTCTGCTGTTTTCAAGGCTGTTCTTTTGTAAATGTTCTGAAAAAATTTTTTCAAACAGAAAAGATCAGAGTCAGTTTGTGGAGGATTACAAAAATAACTTGTGCTGATTTCCCTCACCGTAATTGTTGCAGCCCAAATGTAATTTCTCACTGGCCAGAAGCTTAGAAGCCAGACTTTTACTGTAACAAGATAAGAAATATTGAGAAACAAACTGTAGTTTATCATGATCACATTAGGCCAAGAGTTACCGGATTTTGCTTCATTGTTCTTTTGACCCTCAGAGACTTAAAATAGTGAGCTGATCTGATCGCTGTCACATCAAGATGACTGGCAGCACATTAAAATACTCCGGCGAGGGCCAGGGATCTAATGTAATAGATCTGTCCATATGGACCACGCTCAGCAGCGGCAGTAACTGTCCCCTGTAATTAAGCGAGAGTGTTTCACACAGATAAAAACGAGAAGGACACTTCTCAATCAAAGATACTGACAGGGTCTACACTGGACATGAGATCTGCAGATGTGCGTGAGAGATTGTAAATGTGTTTTTTGCCTAAAAACATTAAATTTTCGGTCCAACTACACTACCATTCAAACGTTTGGGGTCAGTAAGATTTTTGAAGCAAGTCTGCATTTATTTGATCAAAATACAGTAAAAATAGCTTTTCTATTTTAATGTTTTTGTTTTGTTTTTTTTTTACTTTTACTTTTTATTCCTGTAATGACAAAGCTGAATTTTCAGCAGCCATTACATTCTAAAATGCTGATTTGCTGCTCAAGAAACATTTATTATTATTACCAATATTGAAAACGGTAGTGCTGTCAAACAATTAATCGCGATTAATCACATCCAAAAAAAAGTTTTTGTTTACATAATATGCGAGTGTATACTGTGTATATTTATTATGTATATATAAATACAAACACATGCATGTATATATTTAAGAAAAATGTTGTTTATATATTTATATATAATAATATAAATGTATATACATGTAAATATTTTCAAAATATATTCTGTATGTGTGTGTATTTATATATACATAATAAATAAACACAGTACACATACATATATTATGTAAACAAAAACTTTTATTTTGGATGCGGTTAATCATTTGACAGCACTAGAAAACAGTTGTGCTGCTTACATTTTTTGGAAACTGACTTTTTTTCTATCATTTTTTGATGAATGGAAAGTTTAAAAGAACCATTTTTATGTAATCGATTTTTTTTTGTAATGTTTTAAAAGTCTTTACTGATACTTTTATCAGTTAAAAGGATAATTCACTCAAAAAAAAAAAAAGAATCTTATTGTTAACTCACCCTCAGTTTGTTCCAACCCTGTATGAGTTTCTTTCTTTTGTTAAACACAAAGGAAGATATTATGAAGAATGTGGCTGACCAAACAGTTGCTGGTCTCCATTAACTTCCATAGTTAAAGAAAAAGAAATAGTATTGAAGTCAATGGGGACCAGAAAATTATCCCTTTAAAGACCCTGATAAAAAATATAATTTATTCAATATGTCAATATTAATAAAAAAATTATCAATATTCATTTCTTAAGAAAATAAAACAAATAAAACATACCAATCCTAAACTTTTGAATGGTAGTGTATATATGATGCTTTTGCTATAATAATTCATTAGTATATTTTGGATAGTTTATCAAAAAATAAAAGCTCTGCATCCTTTATTCACCCTCATGGCATTCCAAACTCATATGGCTGATTTCTCTGATTTGACATTGCGTCAAATCATTGTCAGCTAGGGGGAAGACTTAAGTCCATAAGTATACAGATATTGTATGGACTACTTTTATGGTACTTTTTTTTTTTTTTTTTGAATGTTTGAGCTTGACAGCTCCAGTCCTCATTTACTTTCATTATATGGAAAAGGGTTGAGCCCAGGATATTGTTCAATATTTCATTTTTCATGGAAGACAGAAAGTCATAGTGTTTGGAACGACACGAGGGAGAGGAAATGATGACAGATGTTCACTTTGGGTGAACTGTTCGTTTAACAAGAGATGCACCTTTCGTTATAACATGCAGACTTTGCATTGGTTTTCTTGTTCCCCATTAAAAATGAATTTATTTAAATCTCATCACTGACACTGGACTGCACAGGGCAGACACTGCGGCCGAGCGCTGGGCAGTAATGCTTCTGGAACGCAGGGGTAATTACAGTAATAAGACCAGATGCCCACAGGAAGTTTACTGCATGAGGAAGTGAAATAAATGGCACTGCAGCAAAGAAGGCCTCACTCAGTGGCAAACTAGCTTAGATTGCTTGACTATCGACCCATCCGGAGGAACATAATCTGTATTGATGAGCTGTTAAAGAATCAACGCTCAGTCTGTTTTCATGTGTCCATCTATTACCTTTAGTTTATTTACTGAATGCGTGAAAAGTTTGCATGATCATGAGTGGGAGTTTTATTGGGTCGACTCTGCTGTTTCTTGTGGTTGCAGCCCTTTAAGAATTTACACCCCTTGTGTATTTACCAGAGCTTACCTGTTTATATTGCAAATTGTAGTTTCAAAATTAAACCTCAAAACGTAGACTTATTGGATTTTGTCGAAATGTTATTTGCTGCCTCAATTGCAGATTGACTTCTGAAGTGTGCAGATAAGAAATTATGCGAGAGAAAGGGAAATTTGCAGGAAAATGCTGAAAATGACTAGAGTCATTGCTTTTAGAAATTCCACAAGCAAATTACAGGTGTTAAGTGCTGTGGGTTGCATTGAAAAGGCTTGTCACTTATGTATAACGTTATTGCAGTCCTTTTTCTAGTCTAGAGATGCGCACAGGCGCTTTGAAAAGACAAAAATGGTCAATAATATAAAAACAAATGAATTACATATGACTTGATTTGTTTGCAACTTCAATGCATTTTAAAGGGGTCATATGATGCGATTTCAAGTTTTCCTTTCTCTTTGGAGTGTTACAAGCTGTTCGTGAATAGATAAGATCCCTAAAGTTGCAAAAACTAAAGTCACAAACCCGAAGAGGTATTCTTTATAAAAGTTAAGACTCGTCCACGCCCTCCTAAAACGTCTCGTTTAAACACGCCCCCACATGTCTACGTCACGATGTGGGAAGTTTTGCATAACGCCGCCCAAATGTTCACGCAAAGAAAGAAGGCCTAACTTTATTGTTGCTGCCACCGCCGCCGCCATGTTGTGAAGGTGCTGTGTGTTTCGTTGCGAAAACGAAACTACTTTGTTTGGCCTTCCAAAAGAGGACACGACTAGAAATCAGTGGTTAAGTTGTATTTACAATACTGTTCCAGAACACTTCAACCCAAATATTCAGATGTGTGCAGTGCATTTTATGGAGGACTGTTTCCTGATCCTGGGAGAGTAGACTACAATGTCTGTTCTGACTCACAGCCTCTTAGTAAGTTTTCATATTTAAAGAATTTGCCACTGATGATTCAAACGTAAGTTTTGAGCAGTATAGAGTAGCACTTGTTTGTCATTTCTCCGATCACAAATGCAGACATGGTTTGTACGGATTGTAACGGATTGTAATCTGTAATTATGTCCCCACTGGTAAATTATGTACCCATTTTAGGTAAAACCTTGTGGACTAGATGAACAGTCATTATTTACTCACCTGTATGAATTTCCTTCTTCAGTGGAACATTATATACATTGTAGTCATTGTTTTTTTTGTGTGTACCATTATTTATAAACTACTATTATATTATATTACATTATATTATATTTATTAATACTTTGAATTAGCTCTTCTTTTTAGAATTATATGTTAGAATTTTAGTGATTTTGTTATCTGCTTTCATCATTTGTATTAGTTTTTTATATATATTTACATTAGCTATAGCTTTAATTTTAGCAATACTTCAACTTAAACTAACATTTTTCATTTTTTTTATATATATATGATTCAATATATATGATTCATAAGTTGTTTATTTATTTATTTATTTAAAGACATTTGTTATAATATTGTGCAAGTAATATGCACAATACTTTCCTTTCTTTTCCCTTTCAGGAACACATCTGAAATAATTTAAGAGTAGCTTCTCTTCATTTCATTGCGGTTTGTCTCTGAGCTCTCTCATTGAGGCGAGGACACAATGCTTTGCACTAACAGAGGATTAGGTTAAATTGTAACAGGACGGCAAGGCTTCAAGATTGCTTTTGTTTCAAGGCAGTGCAAATAATTTGTGACTGTCGAAATACTTGTGGGAAGGAGCTTTGCTGATTGAGGGACATCTCAAACAAGTTTCTTTCCCAACTCCTCTTTCTTTGTCACTGTTACACATAGTATTATCTCACTCGCAGTGACGTAATGAAGGAGAAGCCTCTGTTCTCTCTCCAGTTGCATTTGTTCCCGAGTTATATGTGATTGTCCATGGCAGGGGGCCTATTTTTAGTTCGGACACTGACAGGGCCCTCTTCTTGTTCTTGTATAATATAATGACTTGTTTTTTTCCCCCGTTTTCCATTTGTTATTACTGTTCCCATGAACAAAAACTGAAAAATTATACATGAGTACAAGGCCTAAACCGAGACACCTTCGACAGTTATACAATCCGCAGCCAGGCTGCATTTAACACCTAAGCAGAGAGTTAATGTCAGAAAGGATAATTCTATCGCGGTAGATGCGAAACATTCAAATCCGACGCATTATCTTGTAGCTTTTTAAGCTCCATACAGTTTTTATGAGGCGTGCTGGCTTACAAAACCAGGTAAGTCACGAGCAGCCTCATTTAGAAATGTTTTACATTTGCTTAGCAGCAGAAACACAATGCACTTATGCACGCAAGCTCCCATGCTTTTAGTTGTCAGAGCATATGGTGTGTATCAGGACAAATGTGTGTGTCTGACCTTTCTTCCCTTTTCTCTTCCAGCCAAACAGAAGCTGGAGGACCGGTTAGCAGCCGCAGCGAGAGAGAAACTGGCCCAGGCCTCCAAAGAGTCCAAAGAGAGGCAGCTTCAGGCTGAGCGCAAGAGGAAAGCCGCCCTCTTCCTGCAGACTCTGCGAGGGCCAGAGGCTGAGGTCAAGCATACTGAGGAAACCGCTGCTGCGCCTGAGGTTTGTGTGTGTGTGTGTGTGTGTGTGTGTGTGTGTGTGTGTGTGTTTTCCAGCATTGTCCGTCTACCACCACATACACCTAGGCTTCCTTTGAATTCCTAGTACTAGTAGGAACTGAATTTGAAATACGATCAGATGCGTATTATATACTTTATCCGCCATATTGACATTGAACTTTGACTTTTAAATTAATAGTTTCTTGTTACTATAGTGCTTACGCTTGCAAAGAGCTGCCCACTCTTCGTTTTCGGTTTCATTGCATTGCTTGACATGCTCGCCCTGACAAAAATTTATGTTTTTGCTCTGCACTTCAGAATCATGCTCATTGCCGTCACGGATGTAGATTTTGGTGTTTTTATTTCATTGGTCAGCATCACGTCAGGATTCCTACTCGATAACGCTGCTCTGGTTTCCTTGTGGTTTGTTTAGTCAAGTCCTCCTGTAAAAATCAGCAACATAGTTTATCGATCCGTCAAGAATCTTGGGGAAATGCTCATTACTGCAAAATGATTCCTGACAACCGTTCTCTCTCTGGGGGTCAAATGTGATTTTGCTTGCTGACAGACTGGATGAGATGAAATGAGAACGTATAGACGCTGTTAATTCTATCCCAGTTGTATTTTTATGGACTTGCAAGAGGGGTTGTTCCTAATTAGTTGTGCTGACAAAGCTGGTGTCTCCCAGGAAAAACGTCTGTTTGTACTTGTGAGTTTATTTGAATTTTTTTATCTTGTGTCAGCGTTTATAGCCATTGAAGAAGCCCTGATGATTTCTAAATCCATCAAAGCTTCGACTGAATGTGTCAGAATCTCCTCTTTTACTTCACCAGTTATGTACACTACCGTTTGGGGACAGTAACATGTTTTAAAATAAATTAATTCATAAATAAGAATAAATGCAATAAATAAATTAATACTTTTATTCAGCATTTTATTCCTTTAAATGCTGTTGTTTTGAACTTTCTGTTCATCAAAGAATCCTGAAAAAAACGGTATCATGGTTTCTACAAAATATACATATGAATAGTTATTTTAACTTGTAATAGTATTTCACAATATTATTTTTACTGTATTTTTGATCAAATAAATGCAGCTTTGATGAGCATAAGAGACTTATTTAAAAAAATATGAAAAAAAATCTTGCAGACCCCACACTTTTTTTTTTCTTTTTTTAAAGTTCACCTAAAATTAAAAATTGTCGCCATTTACTCAACTGGTATAACTTCCTTCAAAAAGATATTTTGAAGAATGTTACAGCTCCAAAAGCATAACGGCACCATAAAACACAATTTTCAGTGAGAAGTCATAGACCACTGTTATGATACTTTTATAGTACTTTTTTGGATCTTGAAAGTTTGTAGAGACACCCATTCCAGAGTTAGTTGAGTTTTTAAAGAATTTGTGTCTTTCTTTATGGCTAAATATTGTGCATGGTGTCTGCTTAGAGTGGTTTCTTAGCAGGTGTTTTTGAGATGGTAACCATGATCTTCCTCCAACTCTTGCTATAATGGCCAGCGCTGCCTGTGTGCAGCTCATATTTCCCCTGATCTTCTCCGCAGGCTGCAAACGCAGTTTCTCCTCCAGAAAGTTTGCTCCATGGTGGCCACAGAGGGAGAACGAGAAAGGCAGAAGTGTGAGAGAGAAAGACGCCATTAGGAAAAGCGTGAGAGAGTAGGAGAGTGGCGAAGACTAATCTCGCCGTTTGTCTCCACAGGCGTGCGGT